GTCCAGGGTCACAAAGCTAGCAAGTGACTGAGACAGAATTAATGATCTTATCGAAGGATCCACTGAAGAAACTAGGGAAGTGAAGCCAAATAGTGTTATAATTGTCTTTGAGTATCTAAAGGGCTGCTTATACTTTGCTTTACTTGTTCCACTTAACTCCAAAGATCAGAACCAGAAACAATAGGTAGAAACTATAAATAGGATAATTTAGGCCTCTAGGGAATATCGTGGCTTTCCCTTCCCTCACCATCATCAGACAAAATCCGGAGGATCACTTTTCAGTGGAGTCAAAGAAGACATCCTTGGTCACTGCAGGTTGGATTAGGTAGCCTCCTGAGTCCCTTGTAGCTCAGTTATTCACTGATTTTGTGAAGAAGCATTCACACCAGCAAAACCATGGATTTTTGAGGCATTTGAGTAAACAAACAATAAGGATTGTTCCTTGTTACAATAGAGATGTTCAAGGAAAAGTGTTAAGAGCAATGCGTTTCATTAAAGGGAGTGAGTATTTTTTTTAAGTGTTTATTTATTTGCTAAGGAATTCCCTCTTCCATCTAATTTTCTGGCTGCTCAGCCCTAACACTGAATAATTCTCTTTATCTTTCTTCCTGTGCCCTCTCAGTATCATAAAGCTCTTTAAAAATACTTCTCCACAAGAAATTCAGGTAGACAAAAGACATCTCCCTTTACTCATACTGGTTTGTGTTAATGAAATCACTGGTGAAAAAAATATTTTCTGGGGTATTAGAAAAATTCAGACCTTTTGCCATTTGGTCCAGACTCCATAATCAGCATGCCCACATTTCTCGTTTGGGTCCCCCCCATCCCCTTCTTTGAAGGCAGAGCTTAATGTAGAATATGGACAATTATGGGACTATTTTCTATAGCTCCTATATATCATTTGTCAACTCTAAGGGGTCAATTTAGATAAATGGGAGAGAAAATAATGGAAAATAGTTTACAACTAGGCAACATTTGAAATACCATTTTCCGTAAATGAAACCCAACAGAAATCCTGCTCCATCTTGAGACTCACACTTCATCCTACAGTGTACACAGTTGTCCATTTCACTGGTCAGATATGTACCCAATGGGCGTTTATAGGAAAAGAATGCCCTCTGCTGGACAACTGATGTATTGATGAGGTGAGTTTAAAATTGTTGCTAGGAACAAACAGTTCAGTTGGTTGCCTGGGATACACAGATTTTTTTTTAATGGCCTCAAATTTACAATCCAATTATATGCTCAACTATAGCTGTCTAACATAATCAGATATATTTTTTTTTCAGCCTGGATCTCCAACATGGAAGCAGAGAGAAATTGACAAGGATGTTGTAGAGGGAATTTTTCCATAAGATAGGAAGTTGAACTTAGTGTGCTCTAAGGTGCTTGCTCTGTTTAAAACTCCCCAATTCTATAGGTCTGTGATCTCATTGGAACAGTTACTCCCTCTGCTGGCTTAGCTCACAACCTATCCATGTTTTCTCATACTGTTGGATTTTTGTCCATATCTTTCCATATGCCTTCACTCTGGAATTCGTGGGGACTTTCCTTAAATATTTCATGCATAATATTGCAGCATTTGAGCTGTCCATTTGTCATCTCATGAACAAGATGTCCTTCTCAGGATAAGCTGATTGCTTCTGATGTGCCAATCAAACCTTGGATACTCAACACCTTTCCATCTTTCTCTCCCCCCTGACTGGAGGGCTGGAAGGTGGAACACTTAACTGCTCCCAAAGCTTTCCTTCATAGGTGGCAGGAATTGACCTTCCAATTCATCCCACATTCCATCTGCCGCTTTGTTTGGTTTCAACATCATGGAACAAGATGCCTATATGCTGGGTACCCCCTAGAATCCTCTTCCCTTGTCAGATTCCTTTTGTGTATAATCTTCCCCATAGATTATAAACTTCTTGAGGGCAGGGACTATTTTTTTCTCTTTTCTTATTTGTATCCCCAGTGCTCTTCCCCTCCTAGTTCGATTTTTTTTTATTAAAGGGGCCATCCCTTGACTCACTTCTTAAAGAGGCCTCTTAATTGAATGGGTGTTGCCTCAAAATGAGAACTTGAAAAGACCTTAGCTTGAAAAGGCCAAGGTCTCCCACTGCATCCTGGGCTATCTCTGGTTGTCCTGATCCATACCTGGCCACTGGACCCAGATGGCTCTGGAGGAGAAAGTGAGGCTGGTAACTCTGCACAGCCCTCATTCACTCAAATCAAATCCAATTGAAAGTCATGTCATCATCTCCTTGATGTCAAGGTCCTCTTTGAAAATGAAGGACAAAACCACAAACCACAATACAACCAGCTTAGCACAGTGTTGGCACAGAGTGTGAGCTTAACAAACGTTTATTGAATGGAATCTTTTTTTTTTAGGCAATTGGGGGGGTTAAGTGACTTGCCCAGGTCACACACCTAGGAAGTGTCAAGTGTTTGGTCTGAGGCCGTATTTGAACTCAGGTCCTCCTGTGATGGACTAATGCAATAGGCTGCCCATTCAATTGTATGTGGAAATCTTATTGGGGACACAGAAGACATAAGCAAGTTAAATAGAATAACAATTAAAGTACGAAAAATCAAATGTTCTAACAGAATGAACCAACAAACATTAAGGCTTTCAGATCTCAAATGGTTAGGAAAACCATTGACACTAGTCATTATTAACAAGTTAATGGACAGTTCCAAATCCTAACTGAACAATGCATAAATATCAAGAGCATAAACAAATGTTTCCTGATGATGAAAGCCTTACTGAATTCATAGAAGCTTTGGAAACCAGTTCTTAAAAGCAAAAGTAAAAGTCAGTATTTCTCAAAGGGTATATACATTTTTGGATGATGTAAATTTTTTTTCAAGGAAATTCAAGAAGCACAGAAAGATTTATATGAACAAATGTGAAGTGAGGTAAAGCAGAACCAGAAAAAACACCATATAAAATGACTATAAAAATCCCACAAAATAACTGAAACTGAGTGTTATAAAATTATAATGACCAAACTTGTCCCAAAGAAGAGATTTGAGAGGGCATCTCCCTCCCTTTTTTACAGAGGTGAAGGACTATGGGTGTGGAACACCATAGATAGCATCAGATTTTTTTCAATGAATGGGTTAGTTTTGCTTCTTTTTCTTTTTATCCTTTGTTATAAGTAATGGCCCTCTAGGAAGGGGAAGGAATATATTAGGCAATATAGATTATATAAAAATGAAAAGCTGTCAATATGAATGTATTTTAATAAATAAAGGGCATCAGAGATACTACTGGGATAAAAGTTATGGAATGGAAGTCAATTGCAGCTCTGCCATTCAGTGGCTTCGGGCAACCTGTTTCATGTCAAGCAGCGGACCTCTGTTTCCTCACTTGAATAAGAAAAGAGGTATTTGGGCTAGAAGACCTTCAAGGTCCCTGTCAGCTTTAAAATTCCACATTTAGGTATTTTAAAAGATTAATGATCTCACTTGTGCAAGAACTTTTTTCATGGTCCCATCTATGGAATTCTTATTTATATATATCTTTTTGGAGAAAATCTTCCAAAAAAAAAAAAAGAAAAGGAAATCTTCCTTAGAAGATCCTCTCAGTGTGGGGACAAGAGAGGTGAGAATAGGGAGAGGAAAGGAGAAAAGGGATGGCTACATGAGTAAGCAATTTGGAATTGCTGGAAACCCTGCACAGTTTCCCAAATGTAATCCAGTTTCCTCCTAGAAAACTGTAAGCTCAGCTCTTTTTCCATCTAGAGTGTCCACTGAGGGCATATAGAAAGATGGAGTCACCCAATAAGATGCCTAGTCAGCCATCATCAAGGTAATAAGGAATTTTTCAATTACTTTGTTTTTTCCTTAAGTGTGGCTAAGCTGATCTCTTTTTGAATAACTACGGATTCCACAAGGTCATTTACACCTCCATGGCATTGCCAAATACCTTAGGTGAGCTCATTTCTCTGTGCTTATGTTTTGCTTATGGATTACTGGACAAAGTTATTTTAGGTTGCATGTTTCTTGAATATTTTATGATTTCAATATCTGCATAGAAGACACCTTACTGGAGGAGAGCTATGAGAGTTATATTTTGCTCCATAAAGTCAAGTGGGGGGAAAATCATCAAACAATGGACATGCTAAGATTTTCTATTTTCTAGACCTCTAGGTTAGTTGTTGGATGGTGAAAGATGGTAGTCTGTTGTAGAAAAGTATGTTGAAGAATAAGTCTTCCTGTTCTGTTTTCACATATTTTAAAGAACACCTTCAAATTGTACATAGACCATCCTCTAAACTCCTTGAGAAGACCACCAACAGTTGGTGCTTCCATTTCTTTTTCTCCGACTCTCATCTTAACTCTATGAAGTCTGGCTTCCAACCTGGAGATGCTCTCCCCAAAGTTAATGGTGATTTCTTAATTGCCAAATTTAATGGCATTTTCTCAAATCTCATCCTTCTTGACCTCTCCGTAGCCTTTGACATAGTTGATCACCCTATTCTTGACATTCTATTCTGTCTCAGAATTATCAACTCATGCAGTTGATTTTCAGATCTCTTTATTTAGCTATACATAACCATTCTCCCTGTGATGTCATTGGTCCCCTTCAAAACAAAGGACAAACAATAACAACAAGACTAATTGGTTATTGGACATCTCAAACTGGATGTCCCAGAGACAGCTTAAATTCAACCTGTCCAAAACTGAATTCATTATCTCTTCTTTCAAGCTCTTCCTAACTTCCCTATTACTGTTGAGGGCACCACCATCCTTCCAGTCATCCAAACTTACCACCTGGGTGTCATTCTTGGCTCTTCTTTCCCTTACCCCCTATAGCCAATCTGTTGCGAAGTCCTGTTAACTCTATCTTCACAAGATCTCTCTTATATGCCCCCCACTTCTCTCCTCTGACACGGCCACCACCCGGGTGCAGGCCTTTATCACCTCATGCCTGGACTATTGCAATAGCCTGCTGGTTGGTCTTCCTGCTTTAAATCTCTCCCCACTTCAAACCATCCTCCACTCACCTACCAAACTGATCTTGAACTTCTTAAAGTGTATAGGTCTGACCACGTTACCCCCTTTCCCACAGTCTGCTCCGTCATGTAGAGGACCACAGGTGAGTAGGACTCTGACCCTGATGGCTGTATAAGCCCTCTCAGGTGAAGAACTTGCTCCTTGGCCTGGATCGGTTCTCCATTCCCCAGAAAGAAGGGTGGCTAGGCAAGCTCAACCATAAACAATGTTGATAGCTCAAGCACGGCTAGCTCTAGCACAAACATGTATCAAGTATTGGGACATTCCGGGAACAAGAAGTACATGGCGTTTTCACGGGAATAGCATGGGAGAAGGACACAGCCAGGATAATGTTGCAAAGAGACGTGCTTGTTGATACTTTGATTGGTATTCGTATGAGAAAAATTCTCGGTGTTGCCTGTCGGTAAAGATATGTAAACTTTGTTGCTTTGTCCACTGTTACATTGGGGTATGTTCCCATGAGTCAAAGATATTAAAAACCCTAACCCTCAGATAATAAACGGAGCTAATTCCATCTTGTCTCTCGCCTCATTCAACACGCATTCGAGATATAAGATCAAGCTGGTCTCGAGTCTTCAAAGTGAGCTGAATGAGCTGGTCATGACACTGTCACACGGAATAAACTCCCGAGTGTGTTGTTATTACACCCAACATTAATCCATTTGGCCTTGAAAACCCTTCATAACCAGCTTCTTCCTGAATTTCAGGTTTCTGACATGATACTTACTCTCCCTTCCGTGTACTCTAGGATCCATTTACATTTGCCTCCTTGTTACTTATCACATAAGATACCCCATCTCCTTTTATTGCTGCCCAGTTGTTTCAGTCATGTATGACTCTCCATGATCCTATTTAGGGTTTTCTTGGCAAAGATCTGGAGTGGTTTGCCATTTCCTTCTCCAGCTCATTTTACAAATGAGAAAAACGAGGCAAACGGGGTTAAGTGACTTGCCCAGGGTCACACAGCTAGTAAGTGTCTGAGGCCAGATTTTTACTCAAGATGTTTTCCTGACTTTGGGCCTGGTGCTTTCTCCATTTTGCCCTCTAGCTGCTCTGACTCCATCTCCCTGGTCCATGCCTTTTCACTGGCTGTCCGCCATGGCCGGAATGTGCTCCTTCATCACTTCTACTTCCTGGCTTTCTTCAAGTCTCAGAAAAAAATCCCCCCTTTTACAAGAGGTCTTTCCAGTCTCCCTCCAGTCTACCCTCTGGGATTACACCAGACCGCCTTGTACGTATCTTTTATATTCATAGTTGTTTTCGCATTGTTTCACCTATTCTCTTGAGAACAGGAACTATTTTTACCTCTCTTTGAATCCCCAGCATTTAACATGGCGCCCAGAACATAGCAGGCATTTAATAAATGCTTGTAATTGACATAACTATTTTATAAGAATGAGTCAACTGATGACTTTGATTGCTAAGGTCTTTTCCATTCTTACAGAATCTTTCCCTCTGAGATATTTTGAAAATAAACTTTGAGCCTATAATATTAAATGTAAAAAAAAAATAGCTGAATTTAGGAAATTCATAGAGAATATGACAATAAGAAGGATAATAGATTTATAGCTAGAAGGGACCTTCTAATCTAATCCCACCATCTACCATTTATAGGTTATGAAACTGATGCCAAAAGATGAAAAGTGACTAGTCCAACGGACATAAGTGCTAAGTGATATTGTGTGTGGTTATCCTTCATTCTCAAAGGGGACCATGACATCAAGGAGATGATGACATGACTTGCAATTGACTTTGATTTGAGTGAGGGAGGCTGTGCAAAGTCACTAGCCTCACTTTCTCCTCCAGAGCCATCTGGGTCCAGTGGCCAGAAATGAATTAGGAGGACTGGAGATGGCCCACGATGCAGCGAGAGACCTTGGCCTTCTTGTAAGCTCTTTCCAGGTTCTCACTTTGAGTGAGGTAATGACCATTCAGTGAACAGGCCTCTTTAAGAAGTGAGGGTAAGTGATAAAGTTGTGAACGGAGACCAGGCTGTCTGACTTTAAATTCAGTGAGCTTATCATTTCATCACACATGTTTTTTTTTTTTAAAGTGGTAGTGATGCCTTTGGTTTTTATATCATAGTCATTTCCTAATATACTCCTCCCCCGCCCCTTCCTTCCCAATGTTAAAAAAAAAAAAGTTAAAACCAAAAGGCACATTGACCACATCTGAAAGATATCTGACAACGTCCCCAGATAAAAAGGGAGGAGACTGCACCACACGTCTTCAGCGGGATCACCTAATTTTCCAAACCTCAAAAGGTCTCAGAAGACATTTGCTGGTTGGTCTTCCTGCTTTAAGTCTCTCCCCACTTCATTCCAGTCTCCACTCACCTAACAAATTAATCTTGATCATATTCATACAGGCAACGACAAAAGCAAATCCATCCACGTCCCAAATAACTGCAACAAACCAACAGAAACCAGAATCCATCACGAATACATCTACAAGGTTTAGTTCCCTAGAGAATTGCTTAGAATTTTTTGTTGCTTCTACTTGAGCATAAATGGAAAAGTTTTGTACTCTCTTAGAGTTTTCCTTATTGCTTGTATTAACAATTTCATTCCTGTCTTAGCCCCACTGTTGGGGTTGTTAGGACCCGATGCAACAACACCGTTGGGGGGAGCTCAACCCAAGTGTTTTACATGGACGTTCATGATCAAACCAGATTCTGACCAGACTCTCCGGGAATTCTCTGAATGGACTACCATTTCTCCTTTAGGGTGAATAATCTCTATAAAGGATGCTGGGGAAATGACACTCCATTGTGCTGAGCCACTTGGTATAGCTTTCTTGGGACAGGAGGAAAGGGAGAAGAAAAGAATGAAGAGGGGGATAATCTATGGATCTTCCCTCTCTCAACTTGCAATGGTGCAGACTATACCCAAAGTTATCAGTCAAGGACTCAATATTCTCTGGGGTAAACTAACTCTTTCACCTTACGGGAGATCTATGTAGCCCAGAGAGTACAGCTGGATGTCCAGTTAGCCATTACTGAATACTCAACTGACAAAAAAGTTATGCACATACTATTAAGTATAAGGTACTGTGCTGAACATAACGGAAAACTGAATAGTGTTTGAATAGTGAAAAAATCACTGGTTCTGGAGTCAGATGAAATGGATTCAAATCCCAGTTCTGAAATACAATAGAATAATTGTTGTTGTTCAGTTGCTTCATTCGAGTGCAACTTTTTGTGACTCCATTTTGGGGTTTTCTTGGCAAAGAGACTGGAATGATTTGCCATTTCCTTCTCCAGCTCATTTTACAGATGAGGAAATTGAAGAAAACAGGGTAAATGACTCGCCCAGAATCACACAGCTAGTAAATGTCTGTAGCCAGATTTGAACTCAGGAAGACAAGTCTTCCTGACTCCAGGCCTGGAGCTCCATCCACTATCTTACCACTTAAATGCCCCTGGATAAGTAATGCAATTAGTACATCTGGGAAAGGAATAATCTGCACGTGGTACGGTGTGGAACAATGGGAAGAAATTTGAATTTGGAGCCTGAATGAATCTCAGCTTGAATCTGCTACTTACTCCCTTTGTGATGTTGGACAAACCATTTAAACTTTCTGGGGTTTCCTCATCAGTAAAATGAAGGAATTGGATTAGGTTGCCTGTAAGATCTCTTTTCTTTTCCTGACTTCTTATAGACAGACAGCTACTCTGCCAGTCAGCTCCAAGTATTACTATACATTTTTTCCAAATTAAACATTCCTCATTCCTTTGGTGCATCTTCATCTAGTATGGACTCAAAGGCTTTGACAATCTTGGTCATCTTTACCTGAACGTTCTCGGATATCTACATCCTTCCTAAAATCCGGCCCTCAGAAGTGAACAAAATATTCCAGATGTGATATGGCCAGAACAGAGTCCAGGAAGACAATTCCTGTAAGCCTGACTCTGTTAATGCAGCATGAGATTGCATTACCTTTGTCTTTCATATTATACCAAGTCTGCAGTTCACTAAACTGGTGGGTGTATGAGGTGTTCTGGGAGGACTAGCACCTCTGGCGTGAGGGCTTGGTGAGCCCTTTTCTGGGCTGCTCATTCATCTTTGATGTCTACATCTCACCCAACTCTTATCTGTGGCCCCAAGAAACTAGCATGTGCAACGGCCACACCCCAGTAAAACCACCTCTGTGGATGGGCTAAACCAGGTTGAGGGTAACCAGTGGGCCTCAAACTCATCAGTGAGTTGGGGGGATGTCTACCCCAAGCATGTGAAGGCTTACCTGGTTGAATGGGTGGATTAGAACAATTGGTTCCAATGGTTATGAAAGTGGTTGAGGTAGGTGCTGTCGAGCGCTTAGAGCTTGGTAGATATTGAAGACACCAAGGGCATCTGCTGCATTCATTGCCTGTCATCCTGACTTTTGTCTTACCACTGGACTGGAAGAGAGCATGAGGCTGACAACTTTGTGCAACTCTGCCTCACTTATATCATTTCACGGGCAAGTCAAAACCACCCTGTATGACACTGGTCTTCTTTGAAAATGAAGGATGAACATTTTTTCCTATGATCTCCTGCACATCCATGCCTCCCACATCTTGTACTTGTGAAGCTATTTTGTGAATCCAAGTGCAAGACTTCACATTTATCTCTGCTGGAATTCTTCTTAATAGAAAAGTGATGATGTTCTAACCTTCAAAATCCTATGTCATGTAATGTGTTGTAATGTGTTGCTAGCTATCCCTTTAAACTTTGCATGATAGTACATGCACAGCTTCTTCTGAGTAGTCATTAACCCAATAATAACTCCCTTTTGGGTCAACCCATTCTGAATCCACTGAACTATAAACTTGAAGATGTCGAGCTCACATTTCTCCACCTTTTCCACAAGAATATCATGAGAGATTTTGTCAAATGCTTTGCTAAAATTCAGGTAAACTCTATCTATAGCATTCTCTCAAACTACAGTGGCAGTCTAGCTACACTATCAAAAATGGAAATGAAATTAGTCTGGCATGACAAGTTCTTAATGAAACTAGGACGTCTCCTTGCGACCAACGCTTCCTTTTTCAGATGCACACTGATCATTCCTATAACAAAACCTTCCAGAATTTTCCTTGGCATTGAAATCAAGCTCACTGGCTTACAGTGTGTAGACAATTCTCTTTCCTTTTGGGAGAATTAGTATACTTTTTCTTCTCCAATTGCATGGCCTATTTCCCATTTTCCATAATCTTTCAAAATTACCAACTCAGCAGTCAC